TTCATGAGTTTGTTGTGGATATGTTCGCATGCTTTATCTACTGGTATCGCTGTAAACAACGATACAACGTCAAAAGACACCATGATTTCATCATCGTCAATGTGCGTTTCAGTAAGTTTCTTGGCGAAGTCAGTAGAGTTGTTAACAGAGTAATTATTGTGGTTTTGTAGAGGTAAAAGAATATTTGCGAGAAATTTAGACGTGTTGTAAAGAGCTGTATTCCTACAAGTAACTATGGGGCGGAGTGGATTGTTAGGTTTGTGATGTTTGACCGACCCTCTTATGGCAGGTGGTATGCTGTCAGTAGAGTGTAGTTTTTTGTATGTGACATCGTCGAGTTTTTGTTCGCGTTTAAGTTGCAATAACTGTGCGTTCAGTTCACGTTCAATTCTCTTAAATGGAGGTTTAGACACTTTCTCATAAGTTTGTTGATCGTCTAGTAAAACTTGCATCTTTTTGTCGTAGTCGCTTTGAAACAGTTCCCTTTGTCTGCTTCCGTTACTAATCGAGTTTTATCTTTCTTGAGATATAACAACTCAAAACATTTGCCAGAACAATATCGCTTTTTGCTCAAAAAACTTTAAATTCTACACAATATATTTACGTAGGCGGAACTGTCAGTAATTGTCTTTTGTCAGTAAATGTAATTGTAAACCGCTCTTGTATAGCACTATTCACTCTGTATCATATCTTATATCACTAGCACATTATAAATCTACCCGTCGAAGACTGCAGACTGGCAGTCGAAAGCTTGTTAATAAATAAATCTTTTTTAACCAGAGAACGTTTACACAATTAATTATGAATCCTGGTTTCGCTTCCAACATTTTTATAACTATTAACAGTTGCTCATAAAAATATTGCCTATATGCGTGTTTTTGCTGGGGTCTGCACTATAGGCTAATTCGCGTGAGAATCTTAAAGGGGCCCTACAGTCATTTTTTTAGTCAAGTAAGTATTGTTTACATTTTGTTTTGTTATTGTCGCTACTTGACATGTGCATCACGGCATGTATGCATCTTCCGGTGTGCGGAAGTACTCATATTCATGGGATACTGCATGTAAGATACAGCCAAACGAATCTCCATGGAGTCCCCTACTTAAGGTGGCTTTTCGACTAAAAAATGACTGTAGGGCATCTTTAAGTTTTCTTATTTTGACATAACAGTTTTTTTCAATAAATATATTGATATTTTAAACTTAATTGAATCGATATTTTAAGTTTCACGCCAGTATTTAATTAAGATTTATACAAGCGCTATAGCGCTTCATAAGTTTCAGATGGCATGCAAAATGTATGCACTGCGTACCTATTTTTTGTGTTGTCTAGGCATGCTGATGAGGCTGATATTGGGCAAAAACAAAAACCAAATCGCATAAAAAACCAAATCGCATTTAAGTATTAGTCTAGGACCTGTATATGAGTTTGTATGCATTTCATTTAGGACAGGTAATCTCAACTGTTTTAGGGTAAAATGACCATGGTGGTCAACATGCCATATGTGCCAAAAGCTGAATCCGGGACGAAAGTCCTGAAAATGACCCCGCCCTGAAACGGCAGTGTCGACATAGCTCTAACTTCAGAAAACAAAAAGCGATAGTCTTTCTGAAGTGCTTATAGTGTTTAGAAGGGTTGCTTTTAGGGGTGGTCATTGGAAGAAAAATTTGTCTAAGTATAATATTTTACAAGAAAATGACCATGCACCACCCCAGGTAAATTGCTGATTATGCATAAAATAACTAATATGCCTGGCAGAAATTAAATATTCTTATTTCCTAAAAAAAATTATCATGGGGTTAAAAACTATGCTTAATTTAATATAAATATTGTTGATTTCATAAGGATTGTCATTGTTTTCTTTAAATATAATACATTTTATTTCACTTACCCCCCACGAAAACGCGATTTCAGCCATATTTTGCCGTCTTGTTTGCTTTTTATCGCCGAATCACGCAAATATCATCCAGTTATTGTACTTTTACATGATCATAAATGGCTGAAGAAGATTTCAAAAAAGGTTTCATCCACTTTTGAAACAGTGCAGTGTATTTTATCGTCTATAATGTGTCCTTCGATATCTCGTCAAATTGCCGTCATTTTAATGGGTCGCCGCTTCTCTGCCCGATAAATGCCACTTCTTCGTTTTCACATGTATTTAGATTACATTATCCAAGAGTACTTCATTGTAGAATAGTCCCAATCCAAAAATTGGAAATATTATTTGTACTTGGGAGGAAAAACCTCCCAGTACAATTGTCCTGTTAGAATTCAAAAGAAATAATTTAAAAGTCACGCGCAAGTTCACGAAAACACCTCGTGGGTTACATAACAGGGGGGGGTGTGTGTGAATATTTTCACGAAATGTTTGTTCGCCACCACAACAACCTAACTAAATGTATTATATTTTTTGTATTTTTATAATTGATGATAAATATACGCAAATATTTATTGTTTTTATCAAAAATCACAAATATACAATAAATATAATGTACCTAACTTAGGTTGCTGTGGCCTGTGGTGGCGAACAAACGTTTCGTGAAAATATTCACCCCCCCCCCTGTTATGTAACCCACGAGGTGTTTTTGCGAACTTGCGTGTGACTTTTAAATTATTTCTTTTGAATTCTAACAGGACAATTGTACTGGGAGGTTTTTTCCTCCCAAGTACAAATAATATTTCCAATTTTTGGATTGGGACTATTCTACAATGAAGTACTCTTGGATAATGTAATCTAAATACATATGAAAACGAAGAAGAGGCATTTATTGGGCAGAGAAGCGGCGAGCCATTAAAATGGCGGCAATTTGACGAGATATCGAAGGACACATTATCGAAGATAAAATACACTGCACTGTTTCAAAAGTGGATGAAACCTTCTTTGAAATCTTCTTGAGCCATTTATGATTACGTAAAAGTACAATAACTGGATGATATTTGCATGATTCGGCGATAAAAAGCAAACAAGACGGCAAAATATGGCTGAAATCGCGTTTTCGTGGGGGGTAAGTGAAATAAAATTTATTATATTTACAATGACAATCCTTATGAAATCAACAATATTGATATTAAATTAAGCATAGTTTTTAACCCCATGATAATTTTTTTTTAGGAAATAAGAATATTTAATTTCTGCCAGGCATATTAGTTATTTTATGCATAATCAGCAATTTACCTGGGATGGTGCATGGTCATTTTCTTGTAAAATATTATACTTAGACAAATTTTTTCTTCCAATGACCACCCCTAAAAGCAACCCTTCTAAACACTATAAGCACTTCAGAAAGACTATCGCTTTTTGTTCTCTGAAGTTAGAGCTATGTCAACACTGCCGTTTCAGGGCGGGGTCATTTTCAGGACTTTCGTCCCGGATTCAGCTTTTGGCACATATGCCATGTTGACCGCCATGGTCATTTTACCCCAAAACAGTTGAGATTACCTGTCCTAAATGAAACGCATACAAACTCATATACAGGTCCTAGACTATATGGAAAATTCTAGAATCCAGTGGCCGACTTCAGCATAAAAAGTAGTTATTGCTGTTATTGACAGAATCGTGGGATACTATGATGTTATAGTATGATTTAACTACAATTTTCCACCAACACAGAACAATTCATTTTGGTGCCACAGTTGATACAATATGAACTGCCTAGAACTGTTTAGTGAATTTCCTGCCTCCCAAGAATTGTAGTCCACAAAAAGTCACTTTTTTACCATTTATTTAAAAATATTAATTATAGTCACACGTCACATTCTCATCACTTGAGTCACTGTCTCACACACTCCCACTTCCCTCCAGTCCCATTATATATATTTTAGATTATATCACATTCAGTTCATTGTCACCTACAATTGGTTCATCTTAATTGCATTATTTTTGCTAATTATTCTGCACTATATTATTAATTCAGTATGTAATCAACCCCAGTCTCTCCAACACACTCCCCAAATGTAGCTCCCATATGGAGATACATGTCATGAAGGAGACTTTTATAAAACATGACAATTGAATATAGAAAATGTCAATATAGTCAAAGTTGCCCTTAGTTTTTAAAATTGTTTCAGTTCAAACTCTTCAATCTTCCAAATTTGCTCAGCAGCTTCTTCAGCAGCTTTTCACTTGAGTCGGAAAACCTTAGCATCTGGATTCAGTGTGTTTGCTTCTGGTTGAACGCTCTCATTTGCAAGCTCCATTGGGTACAAGTGCTGGACAGGTCTCTTGAGGGTTCCTTTGGCTGTCTTCAGTTTCACTGAGCAATTGACTCCGTCTTTTCCCAGAAAGACTCAGTGCATGATAGCCAAGGGCCAATTTCCTCGAGTTTTGTTGTCACTCTTTACTATGCCCACGTCCCGTACCACCATGCAGTGTCTCGACATGTACTCTCTCCACCAACGTTCTCGTAAACGGCGCATCAGGAGGTAGGTATGTTGTTTACTTTCCTCGGATTCTTCCCCGACACTCGAGCAGACCTTCAATGTTTTTCTGCAGCTTGAGGGCGATTCGCTTGTGATGTGGGTTGTACTGTCTTGGAGTTGGACACATTTGATCAATCAAGTCTTCATTTTGTCTACCTTCTGGGGTTGTCAATGGACTGTGTTGCTTTTGTTTGCTTCGACAATTGCAAACAAAATGCAGTATCCATGAACTGGTTCGGAGGACACATCTTAGGTCTCCTCTTTCAAGAAGGTCGTCAAAGTTGCCCGTCTTTGTATTTTATGCTTGTGCTACACACAGGACCTTAATGATTTTGGCCTCAGCCTACGAGGGCTTGTAGTCGTTAAAGCATGAAATTTATAAGCCAAACATAAACTTCAAACACCAGATCTTTAATTTACTGCTTTGGTAAATATGTGACTAGTGGTTAATTTGCTTTTTTAAATTATTGCTAAAGAGTACAAGTTTAATAATCGTTTAATATATTTCAAAACTGATGTAAAAGCTGTTACAATAGAGTGTAGATATTATTGATATTACAAGAATGTTGTAGATATTACAAGAATGCCATTCCACAAGAATCAGGCTGGAATGTTGAGGTTGTGGAGTGGTGCAAGTCTGAAGCAGACAGACAATGACTACAGGAAGGTGATTGTTGGGACTGCCTTATTATAGATGAAATGAAGATACAGGTTCATTGACTTTTATTGCCTTATATACAGTAAGAAAAACTTTTAATAATTTTTACTGCACTTTGCTTGGTTGAAATTAAATTCTGACCTGATAGATAATCCAAGCAGGGTCTGAAATTTAAACTTTTTCTGAGTATCCAAGGATTCAAAGTTATAAGTATTATACATTGTCCCACCCAAATACATTTCCATATCTCTCACTGTTACAAATTACAATAAAAACAGGAGACTCTTGAAAAAGTCTACAACTAAATAATTCATTAGTACAGTCCAATAAAATGCACATAATCCTTCAACCAAATTCTGTACTAATTCCCCCCGGCTATTTACACCTGGGGAAACAAAAGCATTGGCCAAGTCTAAAGTTCATCAATGAGTGGTCATCCTCACTGATCTCAAAAATATGGCGGACTGTTATGAATAGCGGACACTGATTCGTCCAATTTAAAGTTTGCATTATAATGACTGTCAGTCGCATGACGACAGCGAAAAATAGCAAACATTTCTTGATTTGATGATTGATAAATTTCTTGCAAATACATTTCATTTTTGCTCGCATTTTTGCAAGATTTTGTAAATTTCAAGAAAGAAAGGGCGAAATAATCGGCTAAAAGAAGGGAGCCGACGTTAACAAAGGTAAGCTTGTTTTAAATATTGATTTTATAATTGCTTTAAAACCCGACGGTCTTTGGCCCTTTGCGTATATGAAACAACTAAACAGGACGTACAGCATATAATTTCAGTGTATTATTAATATTGATTCCCTTTTTTATTATATTGAATTTTTTAAATAAAAAAGAAAGCAAAGTTATTTGCATGCGAGAATTTGAAATCATTTTATTGCAAACTCAAAGTTTATTGACAAAGCCATTTAATTAAAGGCAGTTTAGTTTTATAAAGAACATTTTAAAACGTTTTGCGAAGCTTTTTTGGTTGAATTTTACCTTAAATAGAAGCTTATATTACATATAATAACATACCTAACATATATATGTTGGGAAATTGATAATTTTGTAATTAAAAGTGATATTTTAGGCGATTTTTCATTTGTAAGCATATTCTTAAAAAATTATCATGTTACCATGACAACAACTTTGGATACTTCATGTTCGGAAAATACAATGGTTTTGTCAGCAAGGCGAGGGTTTCTGCATGCATGTATTTTCTAGTAATTTTATTTAATTAACAATCTTATTTGTAGGAAGACCTGCAAATGACAGTGAGCAATGGTGTTCACCAATTGGTTGGACTTGTGTCAACAGGTCAAATATTTGATGAAATGAATACAATATTGAAAGGTATTGCTTAAGCAACAAGTTAATTTAAATTTGTATCATACATGATTTTTTTGTGTGTTGGTGTTATGTACCCAGGTGAATATGTTTATTTGCTGGTGTTACTCGGAATGTATATCCACACCAATTTGCCTAGCCATGGCGGGATCGATTTGAACCAGCAACCTTTGGAATACTAGCCCAATGCTCTGCCAACTGAACTATGTGGTCAGGTCGGTTTGAGTGAGTGACAAAAAATTTTCATCCTTGTCCGGTGTGGATATTCACTCAGAGAAACACCAGAAAAATCATGATTATAAGAACACATTGGTATTGAAGGAATAAGACTCAGTTCCGAAATATCACTCACTTGAACCGACGTGACCTCATAGCTTGGTTGTCGGAGCATTGGGCTAGTATTCAAAAGGTTGCAGGTTGGAATCCTGCCGTGGGCATGCAAATTTTTCAGCCTTGTCTGGTGCAGATATACAATCAGAGTACCACCAGAAACATTAGGGCCATTTATATGAGAGAAAATAAGTTGTGGCCTGAATAAGCCACAGCTTAAATAAATTGTGAACAACTCATATAAACAGTCAATTAGCAATAAACCATTGCTTATTTAGGCCTAGCTTTCAACTCTGGACTTATTTTAGCCACAGCTTATTGCAAATTGACCGTTTATATGAATTGTTCGCAAAATTATTTAAGCTGCGGCTTATTTAGGCTGCAACTTATTTTCGCTCGTATAAATGGCCCTATTATTGTACTATACATACTGTACCCTACATTAGCTTGTGCATGTTGACCATTTTTAATTCCACTCTGCCTTCCTGTTATGACTAATACATTTTATAAATACTATACTTTCATTTGTTAGGTGAACCTGGGACCAATGTTGCATCACAGTTGCTGCAGTTCATTTTTCATGGTGATGATGGTTTTAGGTTCCCTGTGGCCCATTTTGCAACAAATACTTCATCCCAGTGTTCAATATATTTAAAATTTAGGAAGGAGTTCTCTTAATGAAGAGATTTGGATTTAGGTAAATGTATATATTTCAACTTTTTTTTTTCATTATTTACTGAAATTAGTGTTTCTTTAGTGCCTTGCTATGTTGTGTTTTCTTTTTTATATTGGATCAGGGATGGATCCAGACAGGGTCATGCTGATTGGGGTGTGTGTAACACTGCCAAAGTGAAGTCAGGAAGGGGGCCAATTGTTCTTGAGGGGCCCCAGAATTTTGAAACAAGGCCATGAAATGATTGAACTTCAAGTCTTGAATGCTTGAAATTTTCAGGAATAATGGTAAAAATGTATGTAAATTTGTAAAAGATAGAAGGTGGAAAAGTGGTTATACCTGTTTGTTAACGAATTATGCTTTGAGAAAAAATTTTGAGCTTTTGTTTTGATGGAAAAAATTAAAGTTTATGTTCCCCCGGAAATAACATGTATTATTATATGGCTTTTCAAAATTCTCTATTCTGATTGGCTGACAAGCGGTCCGTAAAAACCCATATCCGGACAGTGGTTCGTATTTTTCGTATCTTCATTTATTTGGCGGGAAATTTTTGCTTTGCAAACCAAAAAAATTTGCTTTTTAAATTTCCAATTGTGCTTTACAGATAAAATTTTCAAACAACCAAATTGTTTTTGATTGAGCATGCATATGCCTACTGTAAATATTGTTACCCAGTAAAACTGATGATAGCCAATTTAATTCGCGCGAAAAGCATATGCTCACAGATTCACTTCAGCCATCATAAATCTCAGAATTAACTACACTTTCGTGTAGAATTAACTACACATTTCGGAAATTAACTACATTTCTTTCATCAGAATTAACTACACATTTCAGAATTAACTACACTTTCGTGGCGAACAGACATGTCTCAAATTGCTCCATTAACCACGACCTTATCTCAACACCAAAGTTATTAAACTTGTATTTACTAATGCTTTAATTGTCTACATGTCGAGTACTTTTTGCTGCTAACATATAGAAGAGTATATTTCAGCATTAATTTTTATGACCAGAGCCAGTGTTGCTGCAATGGCCGCCATGAAATCAGAAATCGAAGACGCCTTAAAATCTGAGGTTTTTCAGCAACTTCGCAATCGGCTATCCAGGAAGCACTAAATGTTGCAGTGTTGAAAATTATCGAACCTATGACGAAAACGATAGCTCAATTACAGGAGAAAAATTACATCGCTAGAATCGCAGCTAGTGAGGGTTGAAAATATGGCGAATGACAATGAGCAATACTCGAGGCATCACAATGTTAGGATCTCAGGGTTTGAAGAAGAGAGAACCAAAGATTATATTACAAAGGTTGTCCAGTTTTGCAACGAGAAATTAAAAGTTGACTTATCTGATCAAAATATTGACAGGGCACACCGAGTTGGGAAGCCAAAAGAAGATCGATCTCGCGCGATCATTGTTCGTTTCCTCTGTTTTTTGCATGAACTTTGCTCCTCCATCACTTGGTCCATACTAAAAAACCTCCGTCTGATATTTTACAGTTCATGCTCGGTCAATAAGCTGTTATATTTGGGGGGAAATTTTTGCTTATGTATTCCGAGAAAAACTTTTAAGAAAAAACTGTTGTTCACATATCTCTAATATTTATTGCTTTGTCGTGAAAAATAGCACCTCCTGCACCCCCCTATGGCCAGGGCTAGGGGGGTTCACACCCCACCCACCCCAGTAAATCCATCCCGGTATTGGATTAGCCTTCATTCTAAGTTATTAAACCAGTTCTTGTTTTTAACTCATTCAGTACCAGTGCTCTCCCCTTGACAAGTAAAATCGTCTGATGTTAGACAGAATTAATTTAATTACATTACAATTACATTACATAGAATGCAACTCAATGGGTTAAAATAAAATGTTTCAGATACCAACATCATTATCACTCTAATAAGTCAGGAAATTATTCTAACATACCGGTATATGATTCTTTTTATATATTTTTACCTCTTAAATATTATATATTACCGCATTTGTGATGGTGGAGACTCAAATCGTCAATTGATCAAAATGCATTTCAATGACAATAGATGTAAGGTACCGGTCATAAAGTAAAAGAGGGGGTGGGCTGGGAAAATCATATATTTGGTGTCTGCACTTTTGGTAGCCCACCCCTTAATAGCTGCACGAAAATTTGTGGCCCACCCTTAAATTGGTGCTGAAAAATTACGACCCACCCTTTCAGAAACGTGAAAGATACCAGCTTTCTATTTTTCTTTTGCCAAATAATTCTGTGTTACAGTACTCAATAGCTATTAAAATAGTGCAATTAAAATTCAGGGCCTCTTTTAAGGATGTGTAACTGGAGAGGACATATTTAGCGGGGGACCTGGAGAAGTTCCAGTCGGCAAGTCTGTATCACTGCAGCTACCATGAGGAACCGCACTAGGTGCGAAAAAATTAAGGGTGAAGTGTCCGTTGCCATAGAAGTTGTAATTAGGTTTGACAGACACCAATTATAGGCTATTAATAAGAGGAGAAGACACTTTGTAATGCAATACATCGCTTGGTGTAACTGTTAAATATTAAGCCATGTATTTAAGTTATTAACGTACAATATGGTTTGTTTGCGCTGTCATCACTTTACAAGGAAACCACAAATTATACTGTTTTGCCATAAACGCGCCAAATTAGAATCATCAGTGTCTGGTGTACGTAGCTGGCTTGGCGAATGTATGACAAAAGATGCGGTAATGTATTACCGTGTATATTCGCATTGTTTGGATCGAGCCAGATAGAAATTGGTACGCCTATAATTACTGCTTGCCCGGTTCAAGCATATCAAAAAATAATGGCAATAAATATATATTGCGATGCTTCCCGTACGAATTCAAGCGGGTCAATATAAAAGACCTAAGCTTCAGGATTGCAATGGTAATCCGGGGCCATACCGTTGGTTTAATGCTGGACGGAAAATCGCCGAAGGTTACGTTGTCTCGTCATTCTGTCTCTTAACATTCGCGATGAGAAAGCGCATTTAGCGCACACTTGACGGTGCGTGGCTATACAGTCCAGTGTATTCCAGCATATACGCCAAATGGTCAACTCGTTCCCGCTTGAAGAAATTGGCGCCAACACAACACCAAGCGTTTATACTCCGAAGAACAACGAAAGGGATGAAACGGCGCGAATGATTGAGCACATAATGCTCTTAGAGAACAGATTGAAAGACGAACCAAAAACGTATACAAAGTTTTGAAACGGCTTAATTCTCGCTTATACGAACGCGAATGGTCTTCACCTTACTGGGAGTGTTCAGAGTGATGTATATTGGTATGATTAAACAATTTTCATAGTTCTGGAAAACGTACAGTAAGTAAATAATTACCTGCAGTAACTCATGCCGAAAGGAGTCAAGAAGGGTAGGTTTATGTCAGTCTCTGCAACTCGATCTCGATGTTTTGCAAAGTATACGTGCCTCAAAATATTGGCGGAAAGCTCTCGAATCCACCAAATAAATAATCTAAATTCCAATGGAATTTGAGTTGCTAACATAATGTTGCGATAAATACAATATGACATTGCTTTCTATAATGCACAATCTACTGCATAATCTTGCATGATGACAAGTTTATTTGTTCCAAATACTTTTAAGCTGATATACTCTTGTGTCAGAAAGATGCGTCATCTTATGCTGACAGATTTTGAAGATGCTTCATCTTACCTTAATCAGTAATTGAAGCTTAAAATTATTTGAATAAATAGGCATATGGAACTACGGTTTCTAAATTGAAATGGAATTTGAGTTGCTAACATAATGTTGCGATAAATACAATATGACATTGCTTTGCTATAATGCACAATCTACTGCATGATCTTGCATGATGACAAGTTTATTTGTTCCAAATACTTTTAAGCTGATATACTCTTGTGTCAGAAAGATGCGTCATCTTATGCTGACAGATTTTGAAGATGCTTCATCTTACATTAATCAGTAATTGAAGCTTAAAATTATTTGAATAACTAGGCATATGGAACTACGGTTTCTAAATTGAAATGGAATTTGAGTTGCTAACATAATGTTGCGATAAATACAATATGACATTGCTTTCTATAATGCACAATCTACTGCATGATCTTGCATGATGACAAGTTTATTTGTTCCTAATACTTTTAAGCTGATATACTCTTGTGTCAGAAAGATGCGTCATCTTATGCTGACAGATTGTGAAGATGCTTCATCTTACCTTAATCAGTAATTGAAGCTTAAAATTATTTGAATAAATAGGCATATGGAACTACGGTTTCTAAATTGAAATGGAATTTGAGTTGCTAACATAATGTTGCGATAAATACAATATGACATTGCTTTGCTATATAATGCACAATCTAATGCATGATCTTGCATGATGACAAATACTTTTAAGCTGATATATACTCTTGTGTCAGAAAGATGCGTCATCTTATGCTGACAGATCTTGAAGATGTTTCATCTTACCTTAATCAGTCGAAGCTTAAAATGATTTGATCTGAGTTGCTAACATGATGTTGCGATAAATACAATATGATTGCTTTGCTATGCACAATCTACTACATACATGACCTTACGTGATTGCAAATATATTTATTTGTTCCAAATATGTTTAAGCTGATATACTCTTGTGTCCGAAAGATGTGTCATCTTAGTTATGCTGACAGATTTTGAAGATGATCTTGCATGATCGCAAACTTATTTGTTCGAAATACTTTTAAGCTGATATACCCTTGTGTCAAAAGATGTGTCATCTTAATCAGATGAAGCTTAACATTATTTGAATAAATGGAACTATCTATGATTCTTTTCAAGTGTATAAATATAGTTTCTGAAATGCTGCTGTCATACAAAATATGCTTGCTTTGCTGGTGCACAATTTACATAGTGACATGAACGTTACGACGAAGCCGTGGCTTATGATTTCTTTGTTTTATGGCATTGAATCAATGCCATAAAAGATTTATCAGATAAAAGAAATACTTCTTTGTACAATTTCCCAAATCCCGAAATATCCCAGTTTAATCTAAGTAATTTGGAAGGCATATCCGTCATAGCACAACTAAGCAACACCTTGAAGTAGGTGGCTGCACGACAACAAGATTTTGCACAATGATATAAAATTGGACAACGTCATGGTTACCAAGGATAATGTGCAGTTCCATGCCATACTGATAGACTTTGGTAAGGCATGTTCATTTGCAAATGCTAAACGAAAGGAATTATCCGAGGAGTTAAAGGCTGAATATCGGGAAAAGCATGCGCATATTGCACCTGAAATAATAGAAGGCAAGTCAAAACAGTCTGGTGCAAGCGATGCCGATGTTTATGCTTTAGATAGAGTTGTTTTAAATTAAAGGTTGGGGAGATTTGTAAAGTGCGAACAGATTATCGTGCTAAGTAAATCATGTCTGAGATGTCTCAACGATGTATTTAAGAGATGTACTCTTAAACATTTATCATGGTCATAGAAGAATGTGCATGAAATACTGAAAAAAACAGTTAGCCACCGTCACAGAACGCACAACTTTATCTGATATATAGGTACATGGTAAACACTTGATACATGTAGAACAGAATAATTCATAGATCTTTGTTACAATATGTCATTCTGGGTACCATATGCTGCTAAGTTGAGGCCATCAGAAGGCGAAAAAGTGCAACATTTACACGTGTTATTGCTTCCCGCAATAAATGTCATACAATAAATCAGAAGTTGTTATTTTATCACTCAGAAGATCCAAAACACCTTCAATCTGTACCTTTAATCAATAACAATATTAATAACAGATTTCGTCAGAGCTCCTACAGAGATCAGCAATATCATGTAGCGAAAAATCTTAGTAAATTTATGCACTTCACCTGGATTGGTGACAGTTATGAGCTAATGCGTTTCCGGAGATTCGTGTTTTTAAAACACAAAGTTTGCATAATTAAGGCAGTGCGGTTCGTCATGAGCATATATATACAGGGTTTAACTAATAAGTATACGTCATAGGGCAGCGAATCAGGCCATAACTAGGATTCTGAGACAACCGAGTCGACCACCCAAAGCGCAAGCTTCAAGAGGGGTGTGGGGGCATACCTTCCAGAAAATTTTGAATTTCTTGAAGCTCAGATAAGCTATTTCCTGCATTTTGAGGAGTTTTCCACCAAGAAATTAACCTTAGGGACCGGTCATTATTTATGGAAGGGTGAATTTTTTCTTTCCTAAATTTTTAAAATTGAAAGCCCCCCCTTAAAAGAGCAGAAATTTAATGATGACCCCCCTCTACATATTAGAATATTTTTCTTTGACCCCCCCCCCATTTTCATTTTCTCTTGACAAATGGGGATACCCAGGCGTTATAATGTTAATTATTAATTAAATAAGAATATGGAGCTGACAAGATATTAACGTCGACCAAAAATATATATTAGCAGAAAATTATAAATAAAAGAGGGGTATTTTCATATATAACTCTAAAATCAGGTTTCCATTTGATCTGGGCGATTGTAACCGTGTTTAACGGCAGAGAATTAATATTAGTGTTTGGAGGCAGGTGCCGTTTGTGGTCCAAGGCTGTAACTAGATTTGATGGCACAAAGTATTGCCATAGCAGCTGCATAGCAATGAGAGTAACAATCAGTAATATTAGCAGCAAAAGGAGATAGCCATGACAATTCTAGACATTCTGCCAAGGCATACCTCCGGCACCAGTCACACTGACAAGTCAGTGGAAACAAAATATAATGTATAGTGGTCTATACATCCTATTTTATGTGAGATTAAAAATTATATAAAATAAAATGACCTACTACCAGATAAAATCCTCTAGAATAAACATGGGTGGGTGGGGTGGGTAGGGGAAAGGTATCTAAGCGCTAAACTTGCTGCAGCTAGGCAAAGCATACAGGCCTTAAAATATCTTTTCCAGGGCCGTCTGAGAAAATGTCCAGTGACGTTGAGTTTGGGTCGGACATATGTCCGATGACCTTCAGTTCAGTTTTGACTCGGAAATAAGTCTGAATGACACAAATGAATAAACGGGAAATGTTGTAAAGATATTAAATAATTTGTTTCTTTCATACTTATTTCCAAGCCAAAATTAACTTGCTTGCCAGAACAGCAGTATTAAAAAAGACTTCGACAACTTATAAGCCTGTTTTCCACGTCGCACCATTTCGCTCGCCGCCCCGCGCTCGACTACGTTAAAACATTTCCAGTTCACCTTTTATACAATAGTACATAGTACTCTGATTTTCTATTTAACATACAAGCCCCTAGTCCTGGTCTAGGGTACATTTTGATTTACGTCGGACAAAGCTACAGTTCGGTCAGACACCAATACACTCGGGTCGGACAAACAATAAACCTCAGTCTCACTTTGGTCGGACAGAATGTCCGGTGGTTTCCTCTCTACGTCGGACAATTTCACGAATGGGTCGGACAATGTCCGTGACCGACCGATATTTTAAGGCCTGAGCATACAATGGCAGTATGAATACCCAGACCGAAGCACTGATCACAAGGCACGAAACAACCCCCTTTAATCGATATGATGTCACAGACTCCCATCAGTGGATGTGGCCTGCATAGTACATTCGCCCGTTAACCTTGCTTAAATGTATTTAACCACATCAAGATAGCTGATGTAATAATACATTGTCAATTTATCTCTGCAATCAGTAAAGACTGATTTGCATACAGCACACAGAAGACAAGATAAATCCAGACTATTTCACACCAGTCACCATGATTTAGTCGCAATTACAACCAAATGGATACCATGCTTATTAAGTAAATTCCTTCAAATTTAATTGCAACCCCCCTCATTTTCTTGAAAAATTTAATAGCCCCCCCTTCTAGTCATTTATTTATACATATGGCCCCCCTCATTTTTTCCCTCCCCCCCCCTTCCATAAATAATGACCGGTCCCTTAGCATTGTTTTTTCTTAAAATTTTTTAAACTTTCTTTTCCGACTTTTCTAACTCTCAAAAGGTTAGGGTTAGTGGTTAGGGGTTAGGGTTAGAAAAGGGTTTGGGGTTGGGGATAGGTTTATCTTATAAAAATTCAACTTTAACAATAGTCACTAGACTGCCGGCCATTTAGCATTTGATAAACTGTAACCGGCTGCCGGTCATATAGTCACTTCGTTTTAAGTTCAACTCTTTTAAATGATGGGAAATAGCGAGCTAACCACATGTGGTCGTTATCTGTTTAGTTAATCTCTTTTAAATTAATCTGGTGAAAAATGTCGGTGTGAATGTTGTGATGAATGTCGTGACCAATGTCATGACAGCTTCACTTCAGTGTATATTTATTCTCCATATAATCACATGTACTTTCTTGCATGCACAAGTTTTAAATTATCGATGCTTTAGCTCATGAACAAATTGGGCCAGATAAATGTAAAAACGATATTGTAACATCTTACCATATAAATTTTGTCAGGGAAAGTATTACCAATGATTGTAGCCTCGACTGAACTGCACAGGATTCATCATGTCATCTGTTGACTCGTATGCGCATTTGGGTAAATTTCTCTTGGATTTTTTATACAATTATTCATTGATATCGTTATATATAAACGTGGAAAGTTTTCTTCTGTACAGTTACTCCCAAATTCTGCTTTAAAATAATTTTATTAAACGACGCCCATTTCGAGTGGATTTTCTCATACATTCCAAGATACATTCAGGCGTGAAATTCGATCCTGGAAACCACGGCTCACGCCACAAAATAAAATAAGTACGCACTGCGTACATGCGGCTAAGTCCATTGAGCTATATACAATTACTGGAGGAAGTGTTTGGCGTGAAAAGTGTGGCCGAAAGGCTGGTTTTGACGCCAACTGACGCGATAGTTACGCCATCTGGAAAGAGGTAGAAATTTTGTTTGGGCATGCGCTAAAATTCCCGTGGTTACAAACAGAAAAAGGACTCGTGGAGAGTAAATATAGCAATTTAATTTTTGATGTTTTGGTCCGATTTTTTCCAGAAATTCTTAATCTTTCCCACGCACCGTCATCCTCTGGAACAATCTACCACCGAACATCAAAGCCGCCCATTCCCTACAGATCTTAAAACACCATCTACACTCTTAGTCTTATTACAAAGACACTCTGTCTACCTACATATACCACCATAAATCAGGGGCGCCGGAGCCACGGGGGCAGCGGGGGCAGCTGCCCCCGTTGCCAGCTGCCCCCGTTGCCTAAACAGTGGGCGGGCAGCACGGCGGCAGCAGGTTGCCTTTTTTACCAGAAATGCACTTCGAACGTCGTGCGTTTTTCACATGAATTGAAATTGAAAATTGTTTTTAAACAATTTAGCTCATATTTGAATCTGAATTCCTCTCAGAAACGTTACCAATCAGTTTCCACCTATGAAAAAAGTGAAAAAGGAAGCCTTCCTAAGTAACTGACAACTGTGATGTTGCTTTACAAATTTACAATACATTTTAGTCGTTAGTTTCATGCAACGAATAAAATTGTTCCAGTCCATGCCGAAATTTGTCTAACTGTATTAGCTACAAGTAATGAAGTATCCGCTATACAGCAAAATGTTAACGAATATTGCCCCCCCCCCAAAAAAAAAATTAAGGCTCAAGAGTAAGTGCCCTTTTTAAATGGCTGCCCCCGCCGCTTCATGTTGCTTCCGGCGCCCCTGCCATAAATAATTATACTTTAAAATTCGTAGTACAGCATCCTATATGTTAAGTTGCATGTAATCTGTGATATGTTCCTGCATAATTGTCTTAGTACGTCTCATTATCCATTAATTGTTAAGGGGTCGAATATCAATTGGAATTATAGTTTCTGTTTTCTTCTCCTGTCACAGCATTTTCTAGTTATTGTTATATCTCTATGTAAATGTATATCTTTTATGTGTGTGACAATTGAATAAATAAAAATAAAAAATTATAGGGAAGGCCAGAAAAATATAAAAAAATATTTTCAGGCAACTATTGAGTCTATTACAGGCTATCTCAAACAGTGGTGCCTGGTGGTATCAGCCCAAAAATGCTTGGATTAGCGTCTAAAATTTTAGGCAATTTTAAGTTAAAGATTTAGCTTTTTCCTAAGGGGCCCCTAAGTGTTTTCAAGGATTTAAGCACAAATAAACTTTCCAGAGGTGTTTCTAAGTAGAAAATTAATTTTAAAACCACTGTGGGTGTGGTGTTTCAATTCCATCTGTCCTGGGAAACAAATCAACTTGCATCTTGTAAAAAAGTTAAATTTTTCCAATATTTCGGCGTAAAAGTAAATACTTTATAAACGCCTGATTTCAGTTTATAATTAAAGTCTTTCCATAACCTTTGAATAAACGATTCTAAATTCATAGAAATCTACAGTTTTCTTCCCGAAAAATAAATCCAAAACCTCGCTTTCAGTAATAATCTTTAAAATAACTTTTCGTGAACGCCCACTGACCAGCGCAGACAAAATTTCTACCTGTTCCATCTGGTTCCTTTCGGTCATGGTATTACCACTGTTTTAGTTTTTGAATTGTAATAGTTTTAAAAAATATATACTCCCATAGTTTTGGAATTTTAGACTTCGACCATTTTTCGAAGATGTGCAAAGTTTGTACAACAAACCTAGCGATATATCGGCAAAGACGATATTTAAGCCCGCAAAGCGGACAGGCTATAAACTGGTAAATATTTCGTGAAAAATTGGTGGGATAGGCCTATAATCATATTATGATGGAATAAACTTTAGACCCTTGACTTTGTGCAGTACAAATGAACTCTTTTAGCCACGAGTATTTAGAAAAGTCCAGTAGAAAGCCCAAGCGTTGATCTGTGTCTGTGTTGTATATTTTTCAAAATACTTGCGATAGATGAACCAGGCGGAAATTGTAATCTTAGGATAAATATTAATGCCCAGCATAAAATTAGCTTTCATATAAATATTTTAAATTATATTTTTGTTATGGCTCTTTTACGTGTTTTATGCTGGGCATGTATATTTTTCAGTTTATTTATTTTAGTGTCTTTATATTGTCTTTTAATCGAATTATAACACTACATTACACTAATATGTCATATAATAATAATAATCCTCCTATATAGTCAAACATATAATAACAACATATAAGTTGATTTGTATTTGTATCTTTTTCAGTTTACTTATTTAAGATCTATTATTTGCTAATATAAAAGCACCTCTTTTCGAACCTGACAGCCCGTTCGCAGGATACGTGCGTGGGAGACGCGCGATTTGAAATAAGAGGCGGCATGATATAAATAAGTGACAAGGAATAAAACTCTTAAAGTTTATCGTATTATAAATGCCCCGACTTGAGTGGATCCATAATTATGCAATGAGTGATGTGTCAAATGAACGCCGTCAACCTTTAGGAATCAATGATATAAACAAGGAAACAAACTCGACTACAACTTCAGGAGAGAAGTCAATTTGTGTCGACCGTAACGGTTTCAATTTTAAAATTTAAAATGAACTACATTAGGTCGGGTCCAGTCACGTCGGGGCATTCTTGCTACGAAACGTTGCTATTAAAAGCTATAGCCATTTATAAAACTCTAGGGCTTTTATTTCACAAAACTTTTCATGGGCTATGCACTTTAGCCTTAGACATATCATGTAACCGAATTTCAAGCTAAAATTCATTTTAACAAGAACATACTTTTTCAAAATAAAACACTGCCGTATTGTAATTTCACCCCCTGTCTCTTTTCCTATTTTTAGTGGGAAATAACCACTGAGCTATACTTAATATATCTGGAGATCGTGCCCCAATACCTCGTCAGTCAAAAATGTGTGGCCAAAAACATGGCGGATTTTGGCCAAATTTACGTCATTTTGACGTCACAATCGACCTAAATTTATGGTGAACACCACTGACCTAAAATACTAACGTGAAGAAAAAAGTTATTCACACCCCCCTTTCAATTTGCTTAAAACAGAAGGAAGTAAAATAGTAAATTCAAAATTTCGGTCGGAAATTTCTATATTGAAACAAGACATTTGCAACCATGCCAACTTTTTGTTCAATTCCTGGTTGCCAAAAATCTACTGAAAGAAAGGACC